GACGCGTGCGCCTCAACTGATGATGGCAGACGCGTGCGCCTCGACCGATGATGGCCGAGGCGGGCGCCTCAGCTGATGTCGACCGAGGCGTATACATCGACCTCTTTTTTTTTTTTTTTTTTATATAGGTTGTACGCTCGGTCGAAGGTCGGCTCTTCCATAGAGTAGTGAGCGAGGTCGTACCTTGTACTACCCTTAGGGAATAGCGTTTTTGTAACCAAACTATGAGCTTGGCTAAGAAAACGCCCTTCCGTCGGGTAGCTAGCGGGATCGGATTCCGTGCTGGCCCTTAGGGAATGGAGTGCATGTAGGGTAGTCAGCGAGGTCAGACCTCGTACTGATCCTTAGGAAATAGCGTTTTCATAACCAAACTATGAGCTTGACCAAGAAAGAGCCCTTCTGTCCGGTAGCAAACGGGATCGGATCCCGTGCTGGCCCTTAGGGAATGGAGTACGTGTAGGGTAGTCGGCGAGGTTAGACCTCGTACTGACCCTTAGGATACAGCGTTTTCGTAACCAAACTTTTAGTTTGACAAAAAATGCCCTTCCGTCGGGTAGCTAGCTGGACCAGATCCAGTGCCGGCCCTTAGGGAGTGGAGTGCGGCCGTAGGCTCGGTCAAAGGCCGGCTCTCCCGTAGAGTAGTGAGCGAGATCAGACGTCGTACTATTCCTTATAGGATAGCATTTTCGTAACCAAACTTTGAGTTTGACCAAGAAACGGCCTTCCGTTGGGTAGCTAGCTGGATCGGATCCAGTGCCGGCCCTTAGGGAGTAGAGTGCGGTAATTAATACACCGCCTCCGCTACCATGGCCGAGGACCATGGTAGAGGTTGAGGCGCGTGGCCTCCGTTATTTGTTTCCTATCACAGTTATGGTGGATGAGGACATGCCTCCTACTTTATTAACACAAGGGCTCCATGGAAATTTTTTTTTTCTTATTCAACACAATTGATCAGGGCAGACCATGAACAATAGTTACATCAATAATTATATTATTGATCTTGTTGTGTTTTATCGAATAACATGCTTTTTGCGCTGCACGGGCTCCCCCTCTAGCTCCTTGTCTCCTTCTTCCATGATCTGATTGTACCTCCTCTTTGTGTCTGAGGAGTATGGCTCAGGCCCTTTCCCTTTCGCCACATGTTTTTGTTCATGGGTTGCCGATGCTGTTGTTGTTGCCTTGGATGCTTCACAAATTGAGTGAAGTATCCCCTTTGAGTGAGCTCCTCTATCTGTCTCTTCAAAACGTGACACTCATCCGCATCGTGGCGGCTTGCCTATGAAACCTGCAGTACTTTTTTTGGTCTGCCTTTGGGGAGACCTTCATGCACTCCTCCGGGAATTCTTCTATTCCCACCTCCTTAGCTTGCTTTAGAATGACACTGACAGGATGGGTAAGCGGGGTCAAATTACGTAAGGGGACCAGGCGAGGTCGTTCGTGGTCTCAGTCTTTCCCTGTTTGCGCGTGGTGTCTGGCTGGGCGGACTAGCTTTCCCAGGCTTCCCACTTTTTCTACCATCTTCTTCATCCCTCTTCTTCCTATCAACGTCCTCTACTTCCACATAACGGTTGGCTGTCCTCATCAAATCTTCGTAGGAGCGGGGTTGATGAGCGTTCAGGTTGTATGCTGCTGGAGAAGTATGTCAGGAAGCTCTTCGATAGCTCTCTAAAATTTTGGATCGACCCATCCAGGATGGTGTTGAACCGGGCTTGGGCCGCTCCATCCAAGGTGGAAAAGAATGCTTGGCACATGACGGCATCCCCCACCCCAATCATTACCATAGCAGCCTTATATCTCGTCATGTGGACACGTGGGTCGGTTGTCCCCGTGTATGCTTTGATGGAGGGCATCCTAAAGTCTCTCGGCAGAGGCACATCCATTATACTTGGGGAAAATGGCGCTGTCATCCGTACCTCGGTTCCGGCGATTGCTCCCGTGCCTCCACCTTCTTCGCAAACTCTTCAATTCTTCTTTGTAGCCTTTCGACCAGGGCCGACTCGTCAGGGTGCCGGTGCAGGGCTGGTTCATCAAAACGACGACGTAGATCCGACTCATCCATGTGTCGGCATGGAGCCGACTCATTGATGTGTCACTCATCCGAGTATCAGCGTGGATCCGGCTCATCAACGTGCTGCTCATCCAAGTGTCGGCGTAAAGCCGGCTCATCGACGTGCCACTCATCCAAGTGTCGGTGTGGAGCCAGATGATCGACGTGTCGCTCATCCAAGTGTCGGCATAGCCGGCACATCAAATTGCCAGCGCGCATCAAAGTGCCGGCGCGAGGCCGGCTCATCCAAGTGCCGGCACGGGGTCGGATCATCAAAGTGCCAGCGCGCGGTCGACTCATCCAATTGGCAGAGCGGGGCCAGCGCGCATCAAAGTGTCGGCGCGCAGCCGACTCATCCAAGTGCCGGCGCGCGACCGACTCATCAAAGTGTTGGCGCGCGGCCGACTCATCCAATTGGGGGCCAGCGCGCATCAAAGTGTCAGCGCGCGACCGGCTCATCCAAGTGCCGCCGCGCGACAGACTCATCAAAGTTCTGGCGCGCGGCCTATTCATCAAAGCGCCGTCGCGCGGCCGACTCATCCAAGTGCTAACGCTGGACTGGCTCATCAAAGTGCCGGCGCTCGGCCGACTCATCCGATTGGCAGCGCGCGCCTGGCTCATCCAAGTGCCGGCGCGCGGCCGACTCATCAAAGTGCTGGCGCGCAGCCGACTCATCAAAGTACTGGCGCGTGGCCGATTCATCAAAGCGCCGCCGCGCCGCCGACTCATCCAAGTGCCGACACGGGGCTGGCTCATCAAAGTGCCGGCGCTCGGCCGGCTCATCCGATTCGCCCATTTTCTCAGTGAGTGATTTCTGTGCTGGTCTACTTTCGTGTCGGCGAGGGCCTCTGGTAGAGGACCCCTCGGCCCGTGATCCCAATCTTTGCCGCACGGGCGCCCTGTGTCCCAATCGTTCAAGGGCAGACTGGGAGGGTCTTAGTCGCCGTCTGGCTGGTCCACTTCTTTGGGTGCCCTCCTCTGGACCCCCTATCCTGGTATGACGTCATGCGTCCCTCGCCGCACGGGTTGTGTCCTGTTGTTGCTAGGCTTCTATCCTTCGTGGGGACTCTACCTATATCTCCTGGGGCCACGGCGGGGGCACTTGGCCTTGCAATCCCGCCGCTGCATGAGTTAGTGCAGTCGCCGCTTGCCGAATGGCATCGCCGGTCGCTTGGAGGTTCACGGCTTGGTTTGTTCCTCTATTATTGAGTTATTCTCGAAGGTCCCCGGGCCTCCTGTTATTGAGCTGTTCTCGGAGATCCCCTCCACGATTGTTGGTGAGTTGGTCTCGGAGGTCACCTGAGGCGTTGCCGTTGTTCAAGTTGCGGGAACCTTGGGAGCTGCAGGACACCATTCTTTCAAGCTTGCTGTTGAAAGAGGGAATGGGTTGTGTGTGTCGTCGCCTGCTTGAGTGTTAAACTCAGGTTCTCAATGAAAGCACCAATGATGGTAAATATGTTACCAGATAATATTATTTTGTGTAAATCAATAACAATAGTTGTATTGCTAAGTATTTCCGTACAAGAATAAGAATGTGTCCCTTGCTAGCTGAGGGGAGTTCTATTTATGCTAGGTCCTAACGGTAACAACATGAAGAGTCATAATTGGAGAGCTGAGGCTAACAGCAATAACATGAAGAGTCTTGAATGAGGCGCTGAGGCTTTAATTCTCTCCCTTCAATGTAATGAATGGCCATAATGTTTCCACCTGTTGGTGTTCTGCCCGTTGGAGTTCTGCCTGTTGGAATTCCACGCGGTGTTGGGTTAGATGCCTGTTGGTGATCCGGGTCGGGTGCTAGCACCATTACTTTGTTACCAGCCCCCCTACTCCCGAGTTTGCGGATGTGTTTGAGCTGGCTTGGGAGTAAAACTGAATCAAAGATCCTCATCATTTTTTTAACCAAAGTCCTAGAGGTCGGCCGAGGCGGGATTCGGTCGATGCTGGTCGAGGCGCGGGGCCTCGACCGATGCTGGTCGAGGCGCGGGGCCTCGACCGATGCTGGCCGAGGCGTGGGGCCTCGGCCGATGATGGCCGATGGTAGTCGAGGCGTGCGCCTCGACTGATGACAACAGGGACGTGCGCCTCAGCCGATGTGGGCCGAGGCGTGCGCCTTGGCTGATGATGGCCGATGCTAACCGAGGTGCGGGGCCTCGGCCGATGATGGCCGATGCTAGCCGAGGTGCAGGGCCTCGGCTGATGATGGCCGATGCTAGCCGAGGCGCAGGGCCTCGGCCGATGACAGCATAGACGTGCGCCTCGGCCGATGATGGTCGAGGCACGAAATGACGGTAAATATGTTACCAGCTAATATTATTTTGTGTAAATCAATAACAATAGTTGTATTGATAAGTATTTCCGTTCAAGAATCAGAATTTGTCCCTTGCTAGCTGAGGGGAGTTCTATTTATGCTAGGTCCTAACGGTAACAACATGAAGAGTCATAATTGGGGAGCTTAGGCTAACGGCAATAACATGAAGAGTCATGAATGAGGCGCTGAGGCTTTAATTCTCTCCCTTCAATGTAATGAATGGCCATAATGTTTCCACCCGTTGGTGTTCTGCCCGTTGGAGTTCTGCCTGTTGGAATTCCACGCGGTGTTGGGTTAGATGCCTGTTGGTGATCCGGGTCGGGTGCTATCACCATTACTCTGTCAATATATATATATATATATATATATATATATATATATATATATATATGTGTGTGTGTGTGTGTGTGTGTGTGTGTGTGTGTGTGTATATATATGTGTGTGTGTGTGGGGGGGGGGGGGGGTTTAACTTTGTATGTTTTTCATATTTTTTTTTATTTTAAAAAGAATAGTATTTGTGAGCAGGGTAGCTTAGTATAACTGTATAAGCAATTTAGCATTCATCAAAAGTGGTTCAAATAAACATTTATTAGAAGTGTGGCAAATATTGTATAGGATTGACAGATTCATCAAATAACAAACAACTAACGGGACTTTTGGTTGGAGGGAAGGAATTAGGTGGGAAATAAATTGTAATTTCATGTGAAAAGGATAATTAATGTGGGAATAAAGGTACATCACAATAGATCACTTAATATCACAAAATCACACTTCTTCCACCATTATATCATATAATCAAAATATATCAGAACATATATATCACAATATTAGCAGGTTGAGTCGGGTTTGCATAGCCCTACACAATATATCACAATACAGTGAATAAATCACAAATATAAAACTAGGGTTTGCAATTAAAACTGCTTCCATAATAATATATCATGATATATCAGAACATATTCATAATATATCAGAAGTATATCAAAAATACAGTGAATAAATCACAAATATAAAACTAGGGTTTACGACTAAAACAACTTCCACAATAATAAATCACAACATATCAGAACATATTCATAATATAACACAAATATATCAACATACAGTGAATAAATGATAAATATAAAGACTAGGGTTTGCAATTTACTTGGTTTCTCCTAAATATTTCCGTAGAACAATGGTATTAGGAGTCTATATTATTAGTTATTGAGTTGTGATAGGACTTCTCTTCTTATAGTCTTATATTCCCTTTGTATGTTTTACAGTCATTCAATACAGAACATATTATCCTCATCTGGTATCAAGAGTTTCACGGTTGGAATTCAGATGGCGGCCATCGGTACTGAGGACAGATCTGTTGACGTTTCGTCTAAACGGACTGTCTCCGAGGCTGCGATTTCGGCTCCTCTTCATCCTGTTAGTAATGTTATATTTCACATTTATTTATTATGTAACGTTAGAGTTGAATTAGTCCTATAACTAATAGCTATTGACTAGGTGTAGTTAGATAGGACTCTTATCTCTGTTATTATCTTTGTAACTTCCCAGAGTTTGAATCTACGTTAATCTGTTTTCACTCAATCTGGTATCAGCAAGCTAGGTGAACCTTTGTTTTCTCTCTCCCAAAATTATGTCGACAAACTCGAGTGAGCGAACGGTGACCGCCGGTACTCCGCCTTCTTCCACCACCCCAAACACCCTCAATTCGGCTCACCACTTCATCTCAATGAAATTAACCATGAAAAACTTTCTCTTCTGGCGTACCCAACTTGTACCATTCCTCCGTGGACAAGGTCTCCTGGGGTATGTCACCGGCGATACACCTTGTCCACCTGCCACGCTTGAGTCTCCGGCGTCCGGTGAAGCTGCCTCCGGCGCCACAACAACCACCACCACCTCGAACCCGGCTCACGGCCTATGGATACAGCAGGACCAGAGCATACTGTCTCTGCTTGTGTCATCAATGGCGGACGAGGTACTCTACCTCGCCGTCGGCCGTACAACGTCGCATGAGGTGTGGTCTTCGATCACGGCGGCACTGGGTTCCTCGACCAGGGTGAGATGCCTCAATTTGCTGGCTCAATTCCAATCACTCAGGTAAGGTGACAGCACTCCCGCCGAGTATCTCGGCCGTGCGCAGCTGTTAGTGGAGGATCTAGCGTTGGCCGACCGTCCGGTCTCGCTTGACGAGCAGAACCTCTGGGTTTTCCGAGGTCTCCGGCCAGAATTCCCGTCGATGGCTTCATCCCTCGCGGCATCCGGCACACCGGTGTCGATTCCCCAGCTCTCGGACTATCTCCAAGCCCAAGAGTTCATTTGGGCGGATGAGTTCTCCACTGCCGGCAATTCATCCGGCCACACGGCCTTGGTGGCTGGACGTGGTTACGCGCAGAACCAGACCGCAGGTGGCGGTTCTAGGCATGCTGGCTCCGGGCAGCAGTGGCGAGGACGGGGCAGAGGCCGTGGCGGACAGGGCAGAGGCCGAGGCGGTGGTGGTCCGAGATGCCAAATCTGCCGCTCACATGGCCACACCGCGCTTCACTGCTATAAACGGTACTCCGGCGCTCCGCAACTGCAGGCCCATGCGGCAGTTCCCGGTGATGAGACGGCGGTCGTGGCGGACGCGTGGTACCCGGACACCGGGGCGTCGTCACATGCTACGCCCGATCCAACGATGATGGCGAAAGCAGATCCTTATTTCGGCGGTGACGTGCTCTGCGTGGGCAACGGATCAGGTTTGGGTATAACCAGTGTTGGCCATGCATCATTAAACTCTGCGTCTAGAACTCTGAAATTAAATAATATTTTACATGTCCCCCGTCTTTCCTTACCATTATTATCAGTTAATCGCTTCACACTTGATAATTCTGTTTATTTTGAATTTCACCATGATCATTTCGTTGTGAAGGATTGTCTCACCAAGGCGGTGCTCCTTAGGGGTCCAACCACAGGGGGTTTGTACAAGTTGCCCATGTCTCGGTCACATGTTGCGTTAATAACCGCTCGTGCGCCACTTGACGTTTGGCATCGCAGGCTTGGACATCCGCATGAACGTGCCCAGAATCATGTCTTACAAAACTGCCCGGTCACTCAACCCAAGTTAAGTATACCGCGTTTGTGTTCGTCGTGTCAACTCGGGAAATCGTCTCGATTCCCGCTTGATAGAGTTCTTTCTAGTAGCAATAATGTACTCGACTTACTGTATACTGATATTTGGGGGCCGGCACCCGTTGTTTCTGCCGGGGGTTTTAGATACTTTGTTCTATTTGTAGATGACCACACCCGTTTTTGCTGGTTTTACTCTTTGCGGTTAAAATCAGACATTTATAAAATATTTGAGTCTTTCCGTGTCATGGTAGAACGCCAATTCTCGCGTTCTATCAAGTCGATACAGTCTGATCTCGACGGTGAGTATCGCCGTCTACACACAATATTTGAGTCTCTTGGCATTGTGCATAGGCAGTCTTGTGCCTAAACACATGAGCAAAATGGCCGAGTAGAGCGCCGGAATAGACACATTGTCGAAACCGGGTTAGCTCTACTCGCGCACAGCTCAGTCCCTATCAAACACTGGGATGCCGCGTTTGAAACAGCTTCCTATCTCATAAATTGCTTACCGTCATCTGCACTCAAAAATTATGTCAGTCCCTACGAGTCTGTTTACAACAAAACTCCACCATACACTTTTCTGCGAGTGTTTGGGTGCAGATGTTACCCCTATCTACGGCCCTACAATCGCCATAAGATAGAGTATCGATCTACCCCTTGTGTCTTTCTAGGGTATCCTACGTCTTATAGGGGGTACCGATGCATGGACCCAGTAACTGGAAAGACCTTTATCTATCGTCACGTCAGGTTTGACGAAAGTGTGTTTCCTTATGCTACAGGTTCTCGCGAGCAAAGTGGGGACTCAAGCACTCAGAATGACGTGCCTTGGGCATCCAGTCCCATAATCACACAATCACAAGTTGAACCGATTAATGAGCTACCGCTGGCAACCCAAGTGCCACCGCTAGCAATACAACATGAGCCAGAAAATAGAGTGGCACCACGCCGCAAAGCCAAAAGCCGGGCTCGGGCCGCGCCACAACCCCTTGTGATGCGACTCCGGCACATGACACGAGGCACAAATGAGCCCTTTCACGCTCTAACTGCCTCTACTGATCCAACTTGTTATACTCAGGCCGTGGCACACCCGCAGTGGATGGATGCTATGGATCAGGAATTTAATGCGCTTCTGCATAATAATACGTGGTATCTCACACCGGCTAAGCTGGGGATGAATGTAGTGGGCTGTAAGTGGGTCTACCGCACCAAACGGAAGGCCGACGGTACCATAGAGCGTTACAAAGCTCGCTTGGTCGCAAAGGGGTTCAATCAAGTCGCTGGTGAGGACTTTTTTGAAACCTACAGTCCAGTTGTAAAACCCACGACGGTTCGCATATTACTTGCCCTTGCTATATCACAAGGATGGACTATGCGCCAGCTGGATGTCCATAATGTCTTCCTGAATGGGCATCTAGTTGAAACGGTCTACATGCGCCAACCACCGGGTTATGAGGACCCAACGCACCCGGATTATGTTTGCCGTTTACAACGATCCCTTTATGGGCTTAAACAGGCTCCTCGTGCCTGGTTTAAGCGGTTACATGACTTTCTTCTGACTACAGGTTTTGTAGCATCCAAAACTGACGTCTCCCTTTTTTACTACACGCGAGGTACATCACGGGTCTATCTGCTCGTCTATGTAGACGATATAATCATGCTTGGCAACGACACCGAACTATTAATCTCTCTACTTAATCAGCTCTCCACCACTTTCAAGATACGCGACTTGGGCACTCCCACCTTTTTTCTCGGCATTGAAACTATACCAGTGACAGATGGGGTTCTACTCTCTCAACGTCGTTACATGGTTGACATCTTGACTCGTGCGGGTATGACTGATTGCAAACCCTTGTCCACTCCGGCTGCTGTCACACAATCTATTTCTCCACCGACTGGCCCGTATGAAAACCCTACTCAGTACCGTCGGTTAGCCGGGGCTTTACAGTATCTGACTATCACGCGTCCGGATCTGTCGTATGCTGTTAATAGGCTCTGTCAGTTCATGCACACTCCGACTGATGAGCACTGGGGTTTACTGAAACGGGTTCTACGGTATGTCAAAGGCACGCAGTCCTATGGTCTTAAGTTGTCTGCTTCGCCGTCCGCTGATATTCATGCTTACCCGGACTCCGACTGGGCTGGGTGTCCGGTAGATCGCAAGTCCACCAGTGGTTACGCCGTATTCCTTGGTACGAACTTAATTTCTTGGGTCTCGCGTAAGCAACGGACTGTCGCTAGGTCTTCCACAGAGGCCGAGTACAAGGGACTAACCGACGTCGCAGCAGAGGTCACTTGGGTTGAATCTCTTCTACGCGAGCTTGGGCTACATTCGGGGAATCCAGCAACTTTGTGGTGTGATAATTTGGGCGCCACTTATATGTGCGCTAATCCGGTATTTCATGCTCGGACCAAACATGTTGAGATTGACTACCATTTCGTACGAGACAAGGTGACTTCTGGTGATTTCCGAGTCAACTTTATCTCCACCAAGGATCAGTTAGCCGACGTCTTCACCAAACCACTGCCGTCTGCATGCTTTGCTACTCTTCGCGACAAGCTTAATGTTGTGTATACACCACCTTCAGCTTGAGGGGGAGTGTTAGTAATGTTATATTTCACATTTATTTATTATGTAACATTAGAGTTGAATTAGTCCTATAACTAATAGCTATTGACTAGGTGTAGTTAGATAGGACTCTTATCTCTGTTATTATCTTTGTAACTTCCCAGAGTTTGAATCTACGTTAATCTGTTTTCACTCATCCATCCGAATGTTTCATTTTCTTCTGCCCACCATTTTGTCTCGATCAAGCTGACGTCCCGAAACTACCTTTTCTGGCGCACGCAGTTGTTGCCCTTCCTTGATGGCTAAGGGTTGCTTGGGTTCGTTAATGGATCCACGCCGTGTCTGACGGAATCTCTGCTGGTCGACAGTGGACGGTAGCTGCTCCAGAGGTTTCTTCTGCTGCTCATGTTGCCTGGGCTCGGCAAGACAAAGTCGTCTTCTCGCTTCTGATTTCCTCACTTTTAGACGAGATGATGCATCTTGAGGTTGGGCGGACGTCATCTCGACAGTTGTGGCAGTCGATCGAGCAGACGCTGAGGCCGAGGACTCGTGCCTATGCACTCCGTCTCTCCGGTCAGTTGCAGTCACTGCGGCAGGGAAACTCCTCCATCACGGATTATCTCAGCCGCGTGCAAGTCTTGGTAGAGGATTTGGCGTTAGCCGGCCGACCGGTGTCCCCGGAAGATCAGAATATGTTTATCTTTCGCGGGCTTCGTCCTGAGTTTCGGCCACTAGTGGCATCGCTGGCGAGAGGTCCTCCGCTCTCTCTTACTAAGCTTTCTAATTTTTTTGTGTCGCAGGCCTTCATTTGTCCGAATAATTCCGGCGAGCTGGCTGCTGCTTCGGTTTCCATAGCGGCTCAGGATGGTGGTTGTTCCGGGAGCAGCATGGTGGTCGCAATCAGAATGGTGGTCATGGTCGGAATGGCGGTGTACGGTGCCAAATCTGCAACGGCGGTGGCCATTCGGCCTTAACTTGCTTTCGCCGCTATTCGGATGCCCTTGTGCCTCAAGCTCATGTCGCTTTTTTGATGGGTGATTCGGGCTCAATGGGTTCTCAGGAGTGGTTCCCTGATACAGGTGCATCTAATCACGCCACTCCGGATCAATCGTTGATGTCTTCTACGGCTCCTTATTCTGGGCCTGACACGCTACGGGTTGGCAACGGTAAATCCTTACCTATTGTTAGTACTGTTTCGACTTCGGTAGCCTCTTATAATCGTTTTTTTAATTTATCTAATGTTCTCTTTGTTCCTGGTTTATCTGCGTCACTACTGTCTGTTCAGCGCTTCGCTAAAGGTAATTCTGTGTTTTTTAGTTTCACTCGGACTGTTTTTTTGTGAAGGATCTTACCACCAAGGCGGTCCTGTATAAGGGACTGGCCTCGGGTGGTCTTTATCCGTGGCCTGTCTCTCGTCCGAGTCCCGCTGCGTTAGTGGCTACCCATGCATCTTTGTCTATTTGGCATAGTCGGCTGGGTCACCCTCTTGATTGTGTTCTGCATCAAATTCTGAGTCTTTGTTCACCTAGTACTAGTCTTAGTAATAATTCGAATCTGTGTAATACTTGTATGCTGGGTAAATCGGCTAGATTTCCTTTGCCTCGTGTTGCTACGGCTTCTTCTCATGTATTGCAATTAGTTTATACTGATATTTGGGGCCCAGCGCCTTTTTTGTCTGTCAATGGTTTTCGGTACTTTGTCTTGTTCGTTGATGATTATACGCGTCATATTTGGTATTATCCTATGCGTGCTAAAACTGATGCGTATGCTATATTTGATCAGTTTCATGACCTTGTTGAACGTTCTTTTAATCGCAAGATTGTTGCTATTCAATCTGATTTAGGGGGAGAGTATACACGTCTTCATAAAACGTTTTCGTCCCTTGAAATTAATCATAGGCAGTCATGTGCGTATACCCACGAGCGTTTTGTTATACTCTTATATTCCCTTTTTATGTTTTACAGTCATTCAATACAAAACATATTATCCTCATCAAGGGCATCTACTCAGTAATCACCATGAGAAGGGTTTCCACCATCAATGACCATTGGACAATCGAACTATCGGTGTATCATACTCATGTCTCACCGTCTCAGAGAGTGAGACAAGAAGAGAGAAGTCGGAGATTCCAGAGAACAGAAAACAGAGAAAATCAGAGTATCGCACTATCAGAGAAGAAGAGACAACAGAGGAGAAGAGAACAAAGAGAATCGGATTCTGAAAGTCTGGAATAGTGAGACTAGAGAGAGGAGTAGAGAGAAGTCAGAGAGAATTGAAGAATGAAGAAGATGCTAGAACGAATCGACTGCGCAAATGAAGGAGGGCTGCGTAACCTGCATTTAACATATATATATATATATATATATATATATATATATATATATATATATATATATATATATATATATATATTGACAGGATAATAGGGCTGGCACCCGACTCGGATCACAAATGGGCATTGACTCAGCATCACATGGGAACCCAACGGGCAGAACTCCAACGGTTAGGAATTTCAACAGGTGTCACCTTTATTGTCTTTGAAGCCACCATTGATGCCACCTTTGATGAGAGAGAGTTAAAGCATCAACGCCTCATTCATGACTCTTCATATTCTTGCCGTTAGCTCAGCTCCCCAATGATGACTCTTCATGTTGTTACCATTAGGACCTAGCATAAATAGAACTTCCCTCAGCTGAGCAGGGGACACACGGTACTTTCTATACTGAGACAAAAGGCAATACAACTATTGTTACATCTATTGTTACTTTGTCACATCATTTGTTATTCTAATATTATTACCGGTAACATTTTTACCGTCATTGGTGCTTTCATTGAGAGCCTGAGTCCAATACTCAAGCAGGCTACAACACTACTCTTTTTCTCTTTCAACAGCAAGCCTGAAAGAATGGCGTCCCGCAGCTCCCACGGTTCTCGCAACGTGAACAATGGCAATGCCTCAGGTGACCTCCGGGACCAACTCACCAACAATCGCGGAGGGGACCTCCGAGAACAGCTCAACAACGGGAGGCCCGGGGACCTTCGAGACCAACTCAACAATGGAGGGGTAAACCAAGCCGTGAACGGGATGCCCGGGGACCTTCGAGACCAACTCAACAATGGGGGGGTGAACCAAGCCATGAACCTCCAGGCGACCGCCAATATCATTCAGCAAGCAGTGACGGCGGCGCTAAATCAGGTGGCGGTGGGACTGCAAGGCCAAGTGCCCACGCCGCGGCCCCAGCAAATAGGGGTAGAGGCCCAAAGAAGTGGACCGGCCAGACGACAACCAGGCCCTTCCCAATCGGCGCCAGAACGATTGGGACAGAGGGCGCCCGTGCGGCAAAGATTAGGATCACGGGCCGAGGGGTCCTCTACCAGAGGCCCTCGCCAACACGAGAACAGACAAGCCGAGAGATCACCCACAGAGGAGGTGGGCGAGTCTCGGGAGCCGACCCCACGCCGACACGTTGATGAGTCGGCCCTACGTCGACACTTGGAAGAGCGACGCGTCGATGAGCCGGCTCTGCGTCGGCACTTGGCGGAGAAGCGACGCGCTGATGAGCGGGTCCCACACCGACCCTTGGATGGACGGAACGTCGAGGAACCCGCTCCGCGTCGACACTCAGATAGACAGCACGTCGATGAACTAGCTCCACGCCGACACATGGAGGAGCGGCAGCCGGCCCCGCGTCGGCACCCTGACGAGTCGGCCCTGGTCGAGAGGCTGCAGAGAAGAATCGAGGAGTTAGCAAGAAGGGTGGAGGCACGGGAGCAGTCGCCGGAACCTGAGGTACAGATGGCAGCACCATTCTCCCCTAGCATCATGGACGTACCTTTGCCGAGGGACTTTAGGTTGCCTGCCATCAAGGAGTACACGGGGGCCACTGACCCACGTGTCCACATGACGAGGTACAAGGCTGCTATGGTAATGATCGGGGCAGGGGACGCCATCATGTGCCGAGCGTTCTTGTCCACACTGGATGGAGCGGCCCAAGACTGGTTCAACACCATCCCAGATGGGTCAATCCAAAACTTTGGGGAGTTGTCCAAGAGCTTCCTAACATACTTTTCCGGTAGCATACATCGCAAGAAACCCTTCTCTCACCTCTGTGTAGTGAAGCAAGATAGAGGCGAGAGCCTCAAAGACTTCCTGATCAAATGGAAAAAGGAAGTCAATAATGTCTACGACTTCGACTCCAAGGCGGCGATCCCGATATTTATCCATGCCTTAAGATCAAGGTATTTCCACAAGCAGCTGAACGCTCACCACCCCCGCTCTTACGAAGATCTGATGAGGACGGCTAGCCGCTATGCCGAAGCAGAGGACGTCGACAGGAAGAAGAAGGACGAAGAGGATGGTAGGAAAGATGGGAAGCCTGGGAAAGCTGGTCCGCCCAGCCAGGCACCACTCTCGAACCACCCGACCGCAGGGAAAGGCCGAAACCACGAACGGCCTCACCTGGTCCCCTTGCGTAATTTGACTCCTCTTACCCATCCCGTCAGTGTCATTCTAAAGCAAGCTGAGGAGATGGGAATGGTAGAATTCCCCGATGAGTGCATGAAGGTCTCCCCAAAGGCAGACCAAACAAAGTACTGCAGGTTTCATAGGCATGCCGGATACGATACGGATGAGTGTCACGTTTTGAAGAGACAAATAGAAGACCTCATCCAGCAGGGCTACTTCCGACATTTCGTCAAGCGATCCAAGCAGCAGCAACAGCCGCAACACAATCCACAAAAAAATGTCTGGAGGAATGAGGATGGCACCGAGCCGTCCACCTCAAACGCCAAAAAAAGAGACCACGACCAAATATCTGAGCAGAGTGATAGCGAGAAAGAAACCGAGGTGGCGCCCAGACGACAAAAGAAGCACACCATACACTTTATCTATGGTGGACCTGCAGGGGGCGACACGCCCGCGGAAAGAAAGAAGTGGAACCGGCGGCTATACGTGGGAGAAGTGACGAGTCTTCCCAGAGAAAAGAAACAGAGACAGGAGGCCATCACCTTCTCTGATGATGACCTCCCAGAGGGCCCGTTACCCCATCGTGACGCCCTGGTAATTGAGATGGACGTCAATGATGTCATTATCCGCCGCATCTTAGTCGACATGGGAAGCTCAGTCAATGTGATGTATTACGATGCCTTCTCCAAGTTAGGGATACTTAGGAACCAGCTCAAAGAGGTACGTACCCCACTCTCTGGATTTACGGGTGATTCAGTGGAGACGGAGGGGTCAGTGGTCTTACCAGTGGAGATAGGCACGAGCCCTAACATTCGCAAACTTGACTTGGAATTCATCGTGGTAAGACTCACTTGCGCGCACAACATCATATTGGGGAGACCGGCACTGGAGAACCTCAAGGCCATAGTGTCGGTGGAACACTTGTGTATGAAGTTCCCCACTCCGAGCGGGATAGGGGTCGTCAGAGGAGACCAGCGAGCGGCACGCAGTTGTTACGTTAAAGCATGCAAAAAGATTGGCAGAAATGATCTATAAGTCCACACCATCTGTAAGGATGATCGATCGGGTATGGAGCTAGGAACATTTGATTAAGTATTTTCCTTAATATTCTAGTAGTCGTTTGGAACTGGTGTTTGGAAATAGCGGTTCGCCGGCTTTGCATTCTGAAATCTTTTGGAATAATATCTCGTGCTTATGGTCCGCCCATGTTGTTTCAAAAAAAAAAAAAAAAAAACGATCGGACGAGGCTATGCCTCGGCCACGGTCGGTCGAGGCGACGCCTCGGCCACGGTCGGCCGAGGCGACGCCTCGGCCACGGTCAGCCGAGGCGCACGCCTCGGCCACGATTGGTCGAGGCGACGCCTCGGCCACGATCAGTCGAGGGGTTGGCCGAGGCGCCCGCCTCGGCCAAAGCCGAAGTCCGTCTCGACAAAAAAAAAAAAAAAAAAAAAAATGATCGGTCGAGGCTACGCCTCGCCGCGATCAGCCGAAGCGCACGCCTCGGCCACCTCAGCCGAGGCGCACGCCTCGGCCACGGTCGGTCGAGGCGACGCCTCGGCCACGGTCGGCCGAGGCGCACGCCTCGGCCACGATCGGTCGAGGCGACGCCTCGGCCACGCTCAGTCGAGGCGACGCCTCGGCCACACTCGGTTGAGGCGAGGCCTCGGCCGGAGGCACGCACCTCGGCCTGCCTAAGCCGCAGCCCGTATCGGCCAGCATAAAAAAAAATCATGTGTGATTTGGAAAATAAAATCACATACTCGGGATCAATCAGGATTCTGCACGATATCAAGCAAATTCAGCTTTACTCCCAAGTCAACTCAAACACATCCGTTGCCTCAGGAGTTGGGGGGACTGGTGACAGGATAATAGGGCTGGCACCCGACCCGGATCACAAATGGGCATTGACTCAGCATCACATGGGAACCCAACGGGCAGAACTCCAACGGTTAGGAATTCCAACAGGTGTCACCTTTATTGTCTTTGAAGCCACCATTGATGCCACCTTTGATGAGAGAGAGTTAAAGCATCAACGCCTCATTCATGACTCTTCATATTCTTGCCGTTAGCTCAGCTCCCCAATGATGACTCTTCATGTTGTTACCGTTAGGACCTAGCATAAATAGAACTTCCCTCAGCTGAGCAGGGCACACACGGTACTTTCTATACTGAGACAAAAGGCAATACAACTATTGTTACATCTATTGTTACTTTGTCACATCATTTGTTATTCTAATATTATTACCGGTCACGTTTTTACCGTCATATATATATATATATATATATATATATATATATATATATATATATATATATATATATATATATATATATATATATATATATATAATGCTTAAACGACGTCGTGTAGTAGTATATTTAAACCTATTCTTAATATATTTCGGATATTTGGGCAAATCGGATATCAAAATATCATACCCTATCCGAAATCACTTCTTCGACGTCGTTTAGCCATGCGGTTCGAATATGCCTTCTCAGATGCGGTTCGAATTGGATGCTCTTATTCAAATTTCGGACTGGGGGCTATATCGAAAATGGCCGGGTTTGCACAGCCCTAGTCACATGACTCATATCTATAAGTGGGCGTTTCACGAACTCTCATTAGTTGTCACATTTAATTGATTAACTAATATATTCATTAAGAATAATTATAAAACAACAAAAAAATTTTGGTTTTATTAAGATTTTAAAATTTTAATTAAAATAAAATGCGTACTTTAATTGAAGAATAACATTTTTAGTCTATTATTTAATAGGTAATAGCTATTATTTAATAGGTAATTGCTATTTCGTCCCTAACAGGGCGTTTGGTTGGAGGGATTTTAAATTCCCTTCCCACTTAATTCTCACATAATTCCAAAGGCCATTAAATTCCGTAGTTTGGTTGGAGGGAATTGCAATTTCATGGAATTGCAATTCCCCCATTTTCATGGAATTAAAATCCCATGTCCCCCCTGGTATTTTAATTCTTGGAAAAAAAAGATAGTGATGAGTCAAAATTACCCCTTCCTTTTTTAACCTAAAATTAATGTCTAACAACAATAATGGACATTTTTGACTTTATACTACTTATTCCCTTTCAATTCACATGTATACCAAACATTGGAATTGAAATTCCCAGTAATTCTATTCCTATCAACCAAACACTGGAATTTATTCCCACTTTATTCCCAGTAATTCAACTCCCATGGAATTACAATTCTTTTCCCACATAATTCCCCCCTCCAACCAAACGCCCTGTAATTGTTCAATTTGCACATATTTCCTCTCTTGTCATCACCTAAAGTTGTTGATTTTGTTCCCTCCTAACACGAGAAAATGTCTATCAATTTTTTTGATGTGTGACAATCCATTTAGAGTGGCAACTGAAGTACTATCACACCATATAGCAGTGGTAATCTGTGTACGCATTAAATAACTAGAAATAGAAATAAATATTTTAACAAAATTGAGAGATTGAAAATAATCATATTTCTATTTTTATTCACCAGGACTATGTGGTCCAATGGTACCCAGGTTGGACTTCCATTTGGAAGATTATGAGTTCGAGCCTCAGTGGAGGCGTTATTGGTTCTTTGTGTTTTAGTAGGTTGAGAAAGTATATGAACAGATACTACAATGTAATAGAGCCAGTAACTTTCAAAAAAAAAAAAAAAATATTTCTATTTTTATTCTTAATTAATTCTTTTTTGATATAACTAATCACATCTCCGAAAGAATCCTTAAAAAGATAATAATTTATCATTAAATTCAATTTTAGAATTGTTATCTTTCAATTAATAATGGCTATCTTTAAGTGCAAAAAAAGCAAAATCTGTCACTCTAGAATCCCATATTCGGAAGGTAAATTATTGTGTGGACCACAGTCCATAACAAAAAGTACATTTTAATATACTAAAAATAAATTATTTGTGTACTAAATCATATCACTGGATGTACATTATATAAAATAATGTACTTTCAGTGCCAAAATAATGTATTTTTCTGAATACAATGTTCATTTTTAATAAATTAAAAATACATTATATGTGTATTGAAAGTACATTATTCAATAGTATAGTCCACACAATAATAATTCCATCCTGAACTACCGGGCCATCTATCTTTAATTTTAAGGTAATCCCATTACTAAAAGCTAAGCCCCCCCCCCCCCCCCCTACTAAAAACCATAACAGCATATGGGTGTCCTAATCATACTGCTTAACACATTTTATAAACAAACAAAAACATATACACATAAATTAAAAAAAAAAAAAAAAAAAAAAACTCACAAATAAAGAAAACACAGCTCCCTTAAAAGACATGATTCTGTTACTTTTCGTTTCGTAATGAAGCACTTAGAATGTGACTGTCAGTCCGCATGATGAACATTTAGGTATTATATATAATCTTTTGATCTATTCCTCACTTTTTTTAATGAGTTTTTGGCTGAAAACGCGCTTCCAACAGAAATAAATAAATAAAAACACATTTTCAATTCTTTTATTAATTATGAAATGATCTCAATTTTTTTTTTATTAATTAGAAAACAACATAGAAATGTTTTTAAATAATGGGTTTCGGTAAGTTTTAAAGGCTAATGTTTCTGAATCAGAAAAGTACTACCTTTACCGGATTTCGGTGCAACATAAAGTGTTATAATCATTTAATATATTCTTCACCTTTTTTTAAAATTTTAAGCCAAAAATTAATTTCTAAATTTTTTATTAATTAAGAAACGATATGAAAATAATGTATCATTTTCTATTCCTCACCTTATTCTCTTTTATTTCCGATGCAACATAATGTATTATAGTCTCCTGATCTATTCCTCACCTTTTTAAATGAATTATTTTATGTTGAACATCAGCTTCCAACATAAAAAGACAAATAAATAAATAAATAAATATGAATTTTCAATACTTTTATTAATTAGGAAATGATCTGAAAATTTTAAATTTATTAATTAGGAAACAACACATAAATGTTTTCAAATGAGTTTCGATAAATTTTAAAGTTGAAACGTCTCTAAATCCGGAAAAGTACTACTTTTACGAGATTTCGGTGCAACATAGAGTATTATAATAATCATTTAATATATTCTTCACCTTTTTTGAAATTTTGGATCAGAAATGAGTCTCCAAATTTTTTATTAATTACGAAACAACACATAAATATTTTCAAATAAATTTCGATAAATTTAAAAGACGAAACGTTTCTGAACCAAAAAAAATACTACCTTTACGGGATTTCGGTGCAACATAGGGTATTATAATCGTTTCATATATATTCTTCACCTTTTTTTGAAATTTTGGACCAGAAACGAGTCCTCAAATTTTTTATTAATTACGAAACAACACATAAATATTTTCAAATGAGTTTTGATAAATTTGAAAGACGAAACGTTTCTGAACCAGAAAAATACTACCTTTACAGGATTTCGGTGCAACATAGGGTATTATAATCATTTGATATATATTCTTCACGTTTTTTGAAATTTTAGACCAGAAACTCGGTAGCTTCCAAATTTTTTATTAATTAGGAAATGATTTGAAACTTTGATTAATTAGAAGGAGTTTGGATGCAACATAAGGTATTATTATAATCTTCCAAATCTATTCTTCACCTCCTTTATATATATTCAATTCATTTAGCTTTATCTAGCAAAACAGAGAGAGAGAGAGAGAGATGGGTTGGGAGGATTGCAATGGAGCTTGTGGTTTCTTCACAAAACTATGCAAATCATGGAAAAAGATGGAGAGAGGCATAGATGATGGTGTTTCAAAGAGCAGAGTTGGGAAGTTGTTCAAGTTGGAGGCAAGGAAAAGCTGTTTTTCAAAGGAGGTTCGTGCCGGCACCGCCACTTTTCTCACCATGGCCTATATAATCACCGTCAATGCCACCATCCTCGCCGACTCCGGCGCCACCTGCTCGCTCTCCGATTGTACTTTTCCGGCCAACCAAACCCATGCAACCCCGGACTGCAAGTTCAAAGCTAATGAAGGCTATGAGAGGTGCCTTGCAGGAGTGAGGAGTGATCTCATTGTTGCTACTGCTGTGGCGGCTCTAGTTGGGTCAGTGGGTATGGGCCTTCTTGCAAATCTTCCTTTGGGTCTGGCCCCTGGGATGGGCCCAAATGCCTACATAGCTTATAACTTAGTGGGCTTTCATGGGTCTGGAAAACTCTCATATCAAACCGTCATGGCTATTGTCATGATTGAGGGGATTGCGTTTCTGGCTATTGCTGTGGTTGGGCTTCGGGCCAAGCTGGCCCGGCTCATACCTACCTCAGTACGGATTGCTTGTGCAGCTGGAATAGGACTTTTCATTTCATTTGTAGGATTGCAAGCCCAGCAAGGTGTGGGCCTGGTGGGCCCGGATCCCTCCACGCTCCTCGGCTTGGCTGCCTGCCGTTACACTGATCCGGTGACCGGAGCTTGCTCCGGCGGGCAAATGCGAAGCCCAACTTTCTGGTTGGGCTTTGTGGGCTTCATCATTATGTGCTATGGCGTAATGAAGAATGTGAAGGGCAGCATGATATATGGTATGCTTTTTGTGACATTAATTTCATGGGTTAGGGGCACATCTGTCACAATATTTCCCAATAGTCCATTAGGTGACACAAAATATGAGTACTTCAAAAGAGTGGTGGACTTTCACAAAATTGAGTCCACTGCTGGTGTAATTAGCTTCACTCACTTCACCTCAAGTAGGGTATGGGTGGCATTGGTGACACTACTATACCTAGAAGTGTTGGCCACAACAGGGACACTCTATAGCATGGCAGAAATTGGAGGGTTCCTCAACGATAAGGAGGGATTTGAAGGCGAGTACACGGCTTACATGGTGGATGCTGCCTCCACGGTGGTGGCATCCGCCCTAGGGACTTCCCCGGTGGCGGTGTACATCGAATCCTCTGCTGGAATACGAGAGGGAGGTCGGACCGGATTAACAGCCATCGTGATCGGGCTCTACTTCACCCTCTCATTGTTCTTCACACCATTGCTTGCAAGTGTGCCACCATGGGCAATAGGGCCATCTCTAGTGATGGTTGGGGTGTTTATGATGAAAGTGGTGAAAGACATCAATTGGGAGAATACCAAAGAGGCAGTGCCAGCATTTGTGACCATCATCTTAATGCCATTGACATACTCAATTGCATATGGCATAATTGGTGGGATTGGAATGCACATTGCCCTGAGCTTGTATGATTGGATCAAAGAGTTGGTGAAGTGGACGGCCAGGATGAAGAGAATGGTGGCCAAGGAGCAAAATCAAGTGTCAGCAACAAATGTTGTTGAACATAATATTGAGATTATTTGAGTGTGGAATTTAGGACTTTGTCTGTTTTTTTTTTTTTTTTTTTTTTTTTTTAATATATGTGCACAGGCCACCGTGAAAGATCAGTTTTCAATTATCTCATCAGGAAAAAGTAGGCAAAAGATGCTCTTTCAAGGGAGCTTGTGCATGTTTCCTATGTAATTCCAAGATGCTTTAATTTCTCAGTGTTTCCATTTCATTATTTTTCCTGTTCTTTTAATTTCTCTTATATTTGTCTTTACATTACCTATCTTGCAATCAATAATAATTAGTTCATGCCCGTATGGGTAGCTCAACTGGTCATAGAGGTGAAACTTTGGAAGAATGACCAGGGATCAAGTCTCACCAGCGGCAGTGTGGGAGCAACCTCTCAAAGTGAGGGGGGCTTCTTGTGCGCAGTGAGCACCGGTCTAGCCTCTATGGTTCATGTTCAGTTGAGTCACCATAATTTACATCCTCCCAAATGCTCTGTCGGGGAACCAGATATAATATGTTATACTCCCTCCATCCCATTTTGTGTGTCTAGTTCGATTAACGATGCTTGACTGAAGTTGTTTTTAATTAAATTTTTTCATATATTAAATTTAGTATTAATATACATACAGAGTTTATATATTTAGAAACTATACTAAAAGTACTATTAAACACAAAAAAAAAAAAAAAAAAAATTTAAAAACAAGTAAAAAATAATAAAGAAAATAAACAAAAAAAAAAAAATTGGTTTGACCCATGAATAGTAGGTAGGACATAAAATTGGAGTATATATTATTAAATATGCTCTTGTGAAATTCAATTTATTAGGTCCAATATTAATCATAAATTAGGGTTGCAAGCCCTTAAAATGAACATGAACATCTCTAAGTAACAAAACTCAGGGCGGAAGCCAAGAATGAATAGTGTGGGGCCGTGGGGGACTATTGGATGGATCGATATTATGGCGATTCATGTGAATGCTTGGCAATTTATTGCAAGCAATAAAGCACAATCAAAATCCACAAAGACCATTACAGTGCTCGTATGGTAAAACCAAAATAATCCAAACTTTAAAAGGATTCAAACATAATTGAGTCCTGAAATTTAATTATTTTAGCTAATTGAGTCATCAACTTTAAAAATCAATGACTAAATTGAGAAAATTACTATATTCGATAACTAAATGGGGTAAAATTACTAACATCAATTACTGAATTAGTTTAAATTACTATAGTTGATGACTAAATTGAGTACTAATAGAGACATACCAAACTATCATAAGAGATGACTCAATTAGGTAAAACTATCGAAGTCCAGGACACAATTAAGCACAAAAAAAAGACATTTAGAATTAAATTAGAAAAAAAATCACTATATTTAAGAACTAAATTGTGTATTAACTCGATTAGTTTAATTTAATATTATAATATTAAAAAAAATTAGGGGATGCAACATAGTAAACATCCTTCTGCCCCTGACAAAACCAATATGCTATAGTAAAATTGATGGAATTTGATATATCTCATATAAAATAGATGTATTTGAATAATTGGTCACTTTGACTTGGACAAACAAGAACATGATATTTCACTTTTTAGCTAAAAAATTTTAAATTGAAAAAAAAAAATAGTCTAAATGTCTAACCCATCAAAAAGGTAAAAGAAATTAAATTTTCAATGTGAACTTGGTCCTTAAGAAGTTAATATGTATTTTTAAAAACTCAGCTTAAATATTAAGCCTTCTATGACTCTGAGTCTATGACCTCCTAAATAGCTTCTTTCTCTCTTCCTATTTTCGGTGTCAAATCAAAATGCATTTATTTCTAATAAAAAGTCTTCTTTCTGGAATGCTGCTACTTTTTCTTGCGAAAATTGTGAAATAGGTCCTTGAACATTACTAAATAAATTAATTAGGCCTTTAAACTTTTAAAAGTTACAATTAAACCCTTAAACATATTATTTTAGAGCATTAATTCTCAAAAATGGCTGGTGACCTATAATTACAGGTCAGTAGGATCCCGGCGAACTTCCGGCGAGATTACAACCATATTCCGACAAAAAACACTGACGAAACGGTCGCCAATGTCGTTTGGTTGCCTTCTCCGGCGACTGAAAAAGGCAACCAAATGGTCAAAATCTCGTCGGAACCCTAGTAACCTGTAATTATAGATCACCAACCAGTTTTTGGGGCTCAATGCTTTAAAATAATATGTTTATGTGCTTAATTGCAACCTTTGAAAGTATAAGGGCCTAATTGACTTCTTGAGTTATGTTCAGGGGCCTATTTGACTCTTTTCCCTTTATAATTGATAATTTGATAATAATATGAGTCATGTGTGAGACGAATACAATTGACTTCACTCTAAAAGGGGTGGTCTAGTGGTGCATGATTTTCGTACTTAAAGGTTACAAGTTTGATTTTTGCCAACACCAATCAAGAAACCCATCAAATAGAATTTTTCCTAATACAGTTTACATCTTCTGTGTGGTTTGCGATTATATAGGAGCGAGGAGCGGGGCTTATCTCTCTCTCTCACACACACACACACACACACGCGCACACACACACACACACACACACACACACACACACACACACACACACACATATATATATATATATATATATATATATATATATATATATATATATATATAACTATTATAATAGGCATTTAATGATTCAACGAATACTTTCATAGGAAGCGTTAAAATACTAATCTGAATCCATGGAATTTGATGACGCTTTGAGCCCTTTCTTCTTCATCATTGCTTCAGGTTTACAGAATATTTTTCCCTCTAGTCTTTCACGTTAAAATTTCACAGGTGATAGGATAAGAAAATAGTCTATGCCCTTATATATTGTCTGCTAAATCATAACTGTCATTCCAATATTAATTATTGGAATTATGGCAATAATGGGTCATAAACTCATACATTTAAATAGGCTTAAATAGCATCATTGAAAGCTAAAGAGAGGGAAATAATATCCCCTTATCTGTTACATATTTTATTCCTATTACCTATCACAATGAGATTTTAATCGTCTAGATCACTTAATACATTGGCCACAATAAGATTAGAATAAAAATATTCTAACATTCTCACACTTGGTCCAAAACATCAAAGAACTTTAACTTGAATTAAAGTCATATAGATCATGGTGGTCGCACGTTATTTGAACAACATGTTCCCTTCCATGCATCATAAGTCAACTTTAATTTCAATACTGAGAACCATAGGTGCAAACAGAGATATAACATTAATTGAATTCAACCAAGTCAATATAGCATAAAACTGAAAAACACAATTACAATGATAACAAGGTTTTATCCAAAATTCACATACTCTCCACATGGCAGGAGAAGACCTTCGGTGCTAAACCTTTGGTCAAAGAATCAGCAACCATAAGTTCAGTTTTGATATGCCAAATTGACACTCTCTGTTTATGTACTTCTTCTTTAACTGACAGGAATTTCAATTCCATATGCTTAGCTCCCTTAGAGTACTTGTCATTCTTAGAGAAGAACACTGCTGCGGAGTTGTCACAATAAATTCTCAAAGGCCTAGAAATACTGTTGACTACTCCGCCCCGAGATCAAATTCCGCAGCCACAGTCCATGATTTGTGGCTTCAAAACATGGCACAAATTCAGCTTCCATAGTGGAAGTAGCGATGACTGACTGCTTCATAGTTTTTCATGAAACTGCTCCTCCAGCTAATAGAAACAAATAACCTAATGTAGATTCTCTCGTAGCTACACACCCAGCATAGTATGAATCAAAATAGCCAATCACTTCAAGTGGATCTGACTTCCTATATGTAAGCATGTACTCTTCTGTGCCTTGTAGATATATTAAAACCTTCTTCGCAGCCTTCTAGTGTTCTATACCGGGATTACTTTGATATTGACCCAACATACCAACAGCAAAGCTGATGTCTGGCTGAGTACAAGTCTGTAAATATCCCAAACATCTAACCGCTGTTGCATAAGGTACACATTCCATTTGTTTTTGCTAAAGTTCATTTCTAGGGCATTGGGCTAAACTTAATTTGTCCCCTTTCTGCATTGGAACCACTCTCGGAGAGTATTTATTCATCTTAAATCTTTCCAAGATCTTGTTAACGTATCCTTTCTAAGACAATTCTAATAATCCATGTGTTCTATCTCGGGATATTTCTATTCCAATCACATAGGATGCCTCACCCATATCCTTCATTTCAAAGGTCTTAGAAATAAATACTTTAACATCACGTAACATGATCTTATCATTTACAGCAAGTAAAACGCCATCAACATATAAGACAAAAGTAGCAAACTTACTCCCACTAACTTTTATGTAGATATGCCAATCAATAGTATTTTCCAAAAAAAAAAAAAAAACCATAAGATGTAATAATACTGTCAAATTTAATGTACTGCTGTCGGGAAGCTTACTTAAGTCCATATATTGACTTTTATAATTTACACACCAAGTGTTCTTTTCCTGTGGTAAAAAACCCTTCTGGTTGGTCCATATATACTTCTTTCTCTAAATCACCATTTAGAAAGGCGGTTCTAACATCCATTTGATGAAGCTCTAAATTGTAATGAGCCACCAATGCCAACACAATCCTTAATGAGTCCTTAGAAACTGGGGAAAACGTCTTGTTATAGTCGATGTCACTTTTTTTTAGTATAACCCTTGGCAATAAGTGTAGCTTTCCTTTCGACATTACCTTTAGAGTCGCGTTTGGTCTTAAATACCCATTTGCACTCGACTCTTCTTGAATTTTCAGGTAATTTTAAAAGGTTCCAAACTTTGTTGACCTCCAAAGATTTTAACTCATCTTTCATGGCATCTAACCATCTTTCAGAACTGTCACTTTCAATGGCTTGTTTGAAAGAAACCAGATCCTTATCAATACTCAAATCATTTTCTTGTTCAGCAAAATATATCATGTAGTCATTAGAAATGGCATGCCTATTTTCCCTTGTAGACCGCCTTAATGTCATTTCTTCTCGCGGTTCATTGATTTCTTGTTGAATTGTGATTGATTCATTTTCATTGGTCACAATATCCTCATGTGGGTTTAGGACATTCTCATGTTGTTCCGGTGCATTAAAGGATGTCAACGTGATAACTGGAACTACATCTTGAAAATAATTTTC